AATAGTTAAAGACAAAAGAAAATATCATTTCGACCAAAAAAAAAAGAAAAAAATATCATATTCATAAGTGTGATTTTGCTAATATAAAAACGTGTATAAGACAATTTTAGTATGAGATAAATATAATAAATTAACTATTTAATAAAATAGAATAATAAAATAAACATCAAATATTTGTACGAGTCGTAATTTAGAATCTAATTACATTTGTCAAATTATAGGCTTTATAAATTTTAAAATCAAAAATATATTTATCGCAATATGTTTTTATATCAGGATGACACCTAAGCAAAATTATAACTCACGAGATTACGACATGTATCTAATATTGATCAGATGAAAAATGTGTTAAAACTTAAAATTAATTAAGAAAATAAAATTTAAAATAGAAAATGTCAAGTTACTAATCAAATAATAAAAAGTAAAAATTCTAATATTATCAATAATAATTAAGAAACAAAAATTAAGATAAATATAGACATGACATAAGCCATAAAATAAACAAATAATACATATAGAATAAATATCTCAATTAAAATAAATAAAAAGACGAACGATAAAAAAAATGTATATAAATTGAAAAAACAAAAGTTAGAAAGGTTATAGAAATCTCAATTTAAAAATTTAGAAAATATAAACAACCATGCAAAAATAAAATAAAAATAAAATATATAAGAATACTTGTTTTATCAATATAGAGTTACAGAATATCACAAAAAATAGAACTTTTTGACCTATGACGCCATTGGTACTCTTCAAGTGTATATATTGAAAATTATATGAGTTAAAAATAATAATATTATATTTACTATTAAGTTAATACCCTATAAATTTTGGCGAGTATAAATCTTTATGAGAAATAAAACGATGACGGTAATAAAATAAAACTATCAATCATGTACTTATGTGATAGTTCACAATATTATTTATAGTTTTTATGAGGTTACTAACATAAAATTTACACTTATTTGATTTAACTATATAGTATTTTAGTTTTTTTATTTTGTATCACATAATCATAAATATTCATGAGAAATTTCAAAAATATCACTTTCCAAGTACCACTTTTCAAAAATGCCACCTTTTCAAAATTTTTGCAAAAATACCATTTTTTCAAAATTATTTTTTCATTATATAATTTATGTTTGGGTTAACTATGTTGTATTAGGGTTTAGTTTTGAGTGTTTAGGGGGTTTTAAGGGTCAAAACATTTTTTAGGGTTTAGAATTTTAAGATATAGGTTTTATAAATCTATAATTAGTGACATTTTTGCAAATGGACACCCTTAAGTGACATTCTTGCAAATGTGCACACAAAAAGTGGCATTTTTACAATTGCCCCTTCAATATTCATAATGGGTTCAACTATATATATTTATTAAGAATATGATTTAACTTCCGATAATATATATTTTTGGATTTGCATGATATGTATTAGAACATGAGAATTATGATATAAATTTACTTCTACTGGTTGTAGGATCCACGTTAAATAGTATTTTAAAATTTAACGGATTAATAATTAAAATTTAAATATTTATTTTTTTAATTTTTATAATATTTATCCGTGTATTAACACAGATCCCCACTCTAGTTATTTAATAAATTATATGTAAATTACTTTAGAAAAAATGGGCTTCATAAAAATAGGGCCATAGGCGAATGTTTTATGAGGCTGTGCCCAAGGCCGCCCTGCGTATGGTGTATTTGTTGATAAGCATATGTACAGCTCAAACGTAACAATATTATTTAAAACACAAAAACTGGCAAAGGGGAGGCGCCAACTATTGAGAGAGACCACAACAACAAATTTTCAAACAAACAGTTACGGTGTTGAATATATTTTTTTTTTGTTAAGACGAAAAAAACAAAAGAGAAATAGATTGAAACAAAAACTCTTGAGCCAAAAAAAAAAAAGAACCAAGTCTGAATTTTTTTGCAAAAAACCTATCTCTCTCTCATTATACTTATATCATCATCATGACCGATTTTCCTCCACCACTAGCCCCTGCGCCTTGGCCGCCGATTAGCAAAGACAAAGTTTGTTACGGAGCTGCGTTTTTCAACATCTCTTCGTACGGAATCTTGGAGAATTATGAAACTCCGAGTGTCGTTTTCGGCTATGCACTGCCTCTTCTCGAGTTGCAAATCATTCTCATCTTCGTTTTCATCGTCTTATGTCATATGTTTCTCAGATGTATTGGCATACCACAGTTCGTCTCCCACATGCTTGTAAGTTCAAGAAAATACCGGCAAAGAAAATCTTAATTTCTTGTATCACGAGTAACAAGCTCGTGAGATTCTTGTGTCGCAAGTAACATATCTCTTTCCTTCTTTTTTTGTTCAACTAGGCTGGTATGCTTCTGGGACCTAACTTGATCGATTTGCTGAATTTTTCTTCGGACCGGTTATCGTTGGACGTGGCATTGGACGGAAACGTAGCGTTGGAAGGTGTGGCCAAGTTCGGGTTAATAATGTTCACGTTCTTGATGGGTGTGAAGACAAACAAAAGAGCGGCGTTTCAAATCGACAAACGGACGGTTTCCATTGCGGTTTCGTCCTTTGTCGTGACTATGGTCACCGGAATAGCCTTCAGAAACTTCCGTATCGACAAGATCGATCCTCTCTATATGCCTCTGAGGCTAGCCCCAACAGAACGCACCGTGATTGTTGCGGTCAACGCGTTAACGCTGTTACCGGTCGTGACCCATCTCTTATATGAGCTCAAGATTCCTAACTCAGAGCTCGGTCGCCTCGCTATTTCAACCGCCGCCGTCAACGATCTCCTCGGATTTATCAATTTGGTCTGCATCTCCTACATAGCAACATACAGGTATGCATGACATCTGTTTAGGCGTTTTAATTAGCGCATTTTATTAAAATTTTCAATATCAAGATCGGTTTTTACGTAATATTTGTTTTGTGTGATGGATTTGAATCCGGATCATAACACATTGACATTACTAATACAGACGTACACTAAGCTGCATGTTTTTGTCACAGAAACTTGTATTGAAACATTAAATAAATTTAAAAGTCTGGAGATTTTTTTAATTTTTTTAATTTTGAAGTTCAGGTCTAAACCATAATCTCTGTGGATTTGGAATCAACGTTAGATTTATTTTTTTTAGGAATACATTTTTTTGCAAAGGAGGTTGAACTAGAATCACAATAAAATCAACTTTAAGTGCTAAAGTCAAGAGATTTTGGCACTTAAAAACAAAATTATTTTGATAAAATTGGTTAAAACATTGGTCAACAAAAAATTACTATTTGTTGTTTACATCTCGATGACAGATAAATCGGTCTAGACGATTGAATGTGTTTAATAGAGAAAAAAATTATATGAATGAAAATGCTACATATATCACACTCGAGTGCTAGATTTAGTATCTAATGGATATTGAACATTTGTTAATATAGTTTGAACGGTCATATAGGTACGTATCGCCCCGAACAGCCAACCGCGACGTAGTGGCAATGATCATCTTAGTTCTTGTGGTTCTATTCATCATCAAGCCTGCGGCTCAACGGATAGTCGACATTACCCCAGAAGGGAAACCCGTACGGAGATTATACTTATACGGAACAATCATGACCGCAATCGCTGCGAGCATTTACACAACATATTTCAACCAAATCTACGTTGTAGGAGCTTTATTGGTTGGGATGGCGATCCCAGACGGTCCGCCTCTGGGATCAGCGTTAGAGGCCAAGTTCGAAAGTTTGGTTACAAACATATTATTCCCGATTTCAATCGCGGTCATAACCATGAAAGGTGACATTTTAAAGGTATTGTCTGCGTTTGATGACATATCCTTTAACATATTTCTGGTGGGTTTTTCATTGGCCATGAAATGGACTGCCTCTTTTGTACCTTGCGTGATCTGCAAGTTACCTACTAGAGAATCCATTATCCTCGCCACTATCATGAACTATAAGGGTTTTGTTGACCTATGTTTCTACGAAGCCGCCACAAAAAAACATGTAAGAAATCTTTATTAAAAATCCTAGCTTACTCACTCTACATTATCTTAGCACACGACTTCAAATTAATGGGTGAATGTTTTTTTTTTCGTTTTTAACACAGAATTTGTCGCAAGCAACGTACACGTTCTTGATGATTTACGTGCTATTGAACGCGGGCATTTTGCCTACTATTGTGAAAGCACTATACGATCCAAAGAGGAAGTATATAGGATATGTCAAGAGAGACATTATGCATCTGAAACCAAACTCGGATCTCAAGATTCTAACTTGTTTGCACAAACCGGACAACATCTCAGGCGCCATCTCGCTGCTTCAACTGCTTACTTCGCCGCCAAACCACGAGAATAAAGATAGAGGAGTCATTGCGGTCACAGCGTTACACCTTGTGAAACTCGCGGGACGTGCGTTTCCTGTCTTGATACCGCACGACAAGCGCTCTAAACTGCGGTTGCATCAAAGCTCTTACATCCAAACAATGATGCTCGCGTTCACCGAGTTTCAACAAGATAACTGGGGATCTACGACTGTTAATTCCTTCACGGCTTACTCTCATGAGAATCTAATGGATCAAGACATCTGCAATCTCGCTTTAGACCACCTGACATCGATGATCATCATCCCTTCTGGACGAAAATGGTCATCCGATGGAATATATGAATCCGACGATATGGTGATTAGACGTGTGAACACTCTTCTCCTCGACCGCGCCCCATGTTCCATCGGGGTACTCAATGACCGAGGATACCGTAAAGGTAACTTGAAGAACAAGAAAATAACTAATGGTACCGTTAATGTCGGTGTGATCTTCATTGGCGGTAAAGATGACCGCGAGGCGCTTTCGCTTGCGAAATGGATGAGACATAATCCGCGAGTGTGTCTCACGGTAATACGGTTTGTGTCTGTTCAGGAACCAGGAAAGTCCAAGAATTGGGATTACCTTATTGATCATGAGGTTTTGAATGATTTGAAAGAAACATATTCCACCGCCGAAAAATTCACCTATAAGGAGAAGACAGTCAACGATGGTCCGGCGGTGGCCACCACCGTCAGATTGCTGGCGGAAGACAATGATTTGATGATTGTAGGGAGAGATCACGACGATGAGTTACTTGATTTCTCCGGATTAAAGGAGTGGATGGAACTTCCGGAGTTAGGAGTCGTCGGAGATTTGCTTGCGTCTAAAGATTTAAGAACTAGGGTTTCTGTTTTAGTAGTTCAACAACAGCAACAACATGAATGAGTGTAACTTGTCAATATGATCTCAGCAAAAGAAAAAAAACATTATATTTGCATTACTAGTAAATGTTAGAATATCCACAATGTAGATAATAAAATACATAAATTATCAGATTTCTTGAAATTTAATTATTGAGCCGCTTCTTTTTTGCTTGATATAGGGAGCTTCCGATTTTGAGTTAGGAAATTCCAAAATAGTATCGATTAATAACCCATTTTTAGTTGTAGTGGTGTTTTCAAAATTATGGGTTATTCCCATTCTATTTTTAAAAATTGCAGTTTTTTCTCCTGAGCTGTAGTACAAAAAAAAAAACAATCTACTTTTCGGAAAATAATCAAAATATCATATTTTATAGTTTTCTCCCGGATCACCATCAAATTCCAAAACACATCAAAATACCACAAAAATTTAAGGGTTGGGAGGGGTTTTTATTCATAATAATTTTTTTTATTGGTCTGACAAATA